GAAACTTCTAAACTCTAGGTTAAGACATGATGACTGGGGGGAGAGACAGGCTCCTGAGCCAGGTGTCAATAAATCTTTTAGATGTTCTGAGTGTGGTAAACAATATATTTATAACAGAAACATGTAATAGGTCAAATATCATCCTCATCCTCGGATGAGGAGCGAAACGTCTTCTGTTACAAATAAAGTCCAGTTGTTTCCAGTTCAGGAGCTACAAACTTGTGTCAGATGAAGTGACGTGAGACCAAAAAAACTAAACGAACCTGGAGTCGGCTTCTTCCAGGATACGCTCGGCCTGGTCGCCGATGACTTCCTGTCGCAGATAATACAGCATTCTCACCCTCAGCAGGACCCTGAAAAACAGAGTAGACCGTTTGTGAAGTTGGCTCTTCTTCAGATTTACTTAAGCAAAGAAAGCATTCTTTGGGCTGAAAGGTTTGATAAATTATGTTCTATTATAAACGAAAAGAAATCTAAATGTCAAATAATAAAAATGCATTATCAAATTACTTATCCTGGGTGACCATAAGGTAAGTTTACAAAATTAGATTACCAAGAAAAAAAAGTAAATGCTGAAACTAAAATGTAAATACCGTATTTTTCATCCTACAAGTCGTGTTTTTTTTGCATAGTTTAAATGCCCTGTAACTTATAGGCCGAAGTGATGTGTTTATGGATTTTCCCCATATTTATAAACCAATTTTTGGCTGAGACACGACCATTTTTATTTATTCTGACTGAAAAAACAAAACAAAAAAACAAAAAACTGAACAGTACCATTTTCAGTCACTAGATGGCAGCAGAATAGTAGTAGCAGTAGGGCAAGCCATTGTATCATATAATAGGTAAACGTGGCGATAATGACAAATTCAAAAAAGTTCAAGACAAAAACAACTGGACTTTATTTATCATACTTTATATTTTATTATTTTTCTTGATCTTTTTTGAATTTACCATGTTCTGGATGACTGAGAATCTTCACCAGTGATTATTTAAAAGGGAGTTTTTCCTTTCCACTGTTGCCACTGTGCTTGCTCAGGATGAGAGACTGGGACAAACTGAAGATTCAACTTGTCTGCTGGATTCCTTAGAGAACTTTGCAAAGTGCCCTGAGACAACTTTGTTGTGATTTGGCGCTATATAAATAAACTGAATTGAATTAATGACGCAATCGGCTTGCCATAGTACCCCACCTTCGTTCTGCTTACTTCTTGGATCAACCCTCACACCACCTGCACCGCCCCGGTGAAATGCAGCCAATTTGGCCATTAAAGTGCATTTATTAAGTTAAAGTTCAACTGAGACACAACTTTGCTATAATTTCAAGCAAACAAATAATTGTTTTTAAGTGTTAATCTTGTTAAATTCCTCCTGCGCACGCTTCCGCGGTCACCATTTGGCAGCCTATCAATTTTTGGCACATCGGCCCACATTTCTGTGTTGTCAGCGGTGACGTGTAACAGATGTGACACATACAGCAAAGAGACATATTTATGGATTTTCCCACTTTTTAGAAATATTTGGACTGATGTGACTTCTAGGGCGGTGTGAAGGGTACAGCAGAAAATATGGTAGTTATTTAGCATAAAACAAGGGTTAGGGTTAAGTGTACTGAAGTGCCTTGATGATATTTGTAACAAGACCAAGTTGACTGAGAACGTAATGTGACGTAAAAGTGAGAAGGACAAGTTTTCACTCAATTATTCAAATGGAAAATCTGCAGTGGTTTCCTTCTGTCGATACACTGCATTTCAGTATTTTTGCTCATTTTCTGTGAACACAAATTACAGATGTTCCACGAGAAATCGCTTCAAGCATTTCCCCTGAAAAAAAAAAGGAGTCCCTCCAGCAAAGCGAGTCGGATTTGATCTCCTGACACTGGAAACGCTGCTATCAGGGAGATTTGCTTTACTGTAAACATTTGTCACCAGATTTGTCACCAGCAAGTAATGGTGTTTGGAGCAAAAGGACGCAGGGGAGGAGGTGGAGGCTGAGAGGAAGAGGTGAGCGAGAGGAGCAGAGAGAGGAAGAGCTGGAAGGATGGAGCTGTGAGCTGGTGGGAGGGAGCAGAAAGTTTGGAGTGGTACTGAGAGGGGGAGGGTAAGGAGACGATGCTGTGCAACTCATCCTGTGTGTGCGCATCAAGAGCATAACAAGTTGCAGAGTGTGTGTGTGTTTGTTGGCAGGCTGTGTGTGCTCATCCATCAATGTGCCAGGCCTGATTAGCCACACAACGCTGTGCTCCAGCCTAGCAGATGGCACCACATAATCACCCCCAAGTGTGTGCATGTGTGTGTCTGCGCACGTCTTTCACCCACTTCCAACAGGTCTGCCTGCCTAGCACCTGGGCTGGCACAAGGCCAAACACACACACACACACACACACACACACACA